TCAGTGATGTTCTGAATTATGTTTCTGTTTACCAGAATACAATACTAACTATTTCACCCAATTTTAATCTGAAAAGACCATTCTTGACTTGGGTTGCCGTTAGGATCTATATTGTGTACTGGGTCCTTCCCATATTCCATGTTATTTTATGTCAAGCTAAATATATTTCTAGCTTTTTGGTACAGTTCAAATTAGAAGGTCAGGCAAAAGGAGACTATTAATAGGAGCAAAGCTACATTGCACAATTTAATCAGCTTTAAAATAATTTTTATGAATTTCACTAGATAATTTGGTAACAATAGAACTGAGAGAATGAAGACAAATCAAGAGAAATATTGAATGGACTGGGAGCAAATATTTTTTCCTCAATTCTCAAAGGATGCTCAGCCAGGTCAAAGAACAATGCTTGTTAAAAGAGGAGTTTCACAAAAATTAGAAAATTCATCGAATTGCAAACCACGACTGTAATGGACTCCTTTCAAAATATAATCAATTTATTGTAAAAAGTATTCTGCCACTATTCCTATGCTGGACAGCCACAATGACCAACTTCTTATTCATTTATGAATATTATAGAATATTGAAATGTTTATAAAATGCCAGAAATACAATAGTGAAAATTGTCCATGTTACATTACTGAAGACATGGCAGATTTCTGAAGACAAAATGTTACAAACGCACTGCTAATAAAGTGAGCTTTCTATGTTAGAAAGGAAAAGGCTAAAAAGTTTGATGTAAAACCTGTGATGCATGCCTTGTATTAAAGAAGAGCTATCATTTACAAAGCTACTTTTGCAGGCAACAACAACAACAACCCACCAGGTCCTGAGATGCAAAAATAATACTTCCCTGCAAGAAGCCAATAGTAACACACTTCCATATATATGAAGCTGTGAATACTGAATGGACCTGTCCATCTGACATCATCAGAGTTCAATTCAAAAAAATGATTGTATGAACTACCAAGCTCAGAGAGCACCAAGGACATCACAGTTCAACTCTGAGCTATGAATATTCTCTTCTTTAAGTATGGAGCCATTGTTTGTAGGCACTAACACATTTAGAGAAATATGTCTAGAATTTGGGCATGTGAACAAAACAAAATAACAATAGAAATGTGTTGTGATATAAATACTCAACTATTCCTAAGTATCACAATTAAGTCATAAGAATTCCTATGAAAGTCTCCAGAGATTTCACATTTTAAAGCATAAAGTTGAAGTATAGAAGTGGGGTTGGAAGTGATCTTGGAGGTCTTTGGCTCAGGATCAGGATCTTATGGCTTCCCAGATAAATGGCTTTCCAACCTTTTGCTTGAAATGCTTTAGTGATGGAAGACCCACAACTCCAGGAGGCAGCTTGTTCTACTGCTTTAATAACTCATTGTCGGGAAATTCCTCCTTATTTACTTAATATTTTACAAGCAAATAAAAATGTCTTAGGTGAAGCCTAACAGCAATATGTTTGCTTCTATTATGAAAGTAGCTTGACCCATACAATACATAGTCAGGTATCTGTTAAAGTAAAAAGTATGTTTTATGTTACTTCCCGAGCAAGCAATAGTGGCAAATACGTTTATTGCTTACCAATTCCTTATAAGATTGTTACCCAGACATCACCTCCTATCTGAACTACCTATGCCTACCACTAACCTGGATACATCCAAAGGACAAACTACTTTTAGGTGCAGCTAACTTGAGAAGAGGCTGGTAATTGAGGGATATAAATATTAGGATATTGGTAAGATTCTCCAGTAATCTATAAAGACAGGAGGTCTATCCTCATTTGAGGGGGGGTTTGACAAACTGATGCAGGACTACTGGCCAAATCCCCTTAAGTGCTTAGAAAGTGCATGAAGAGATGCCTTGATTTTTCTTCCAGTTAAGACAGTGTCCAAACTTCCAAGTCTCGGATGAGGAATTCCTCTTTGGGTGATAATGCCTCGTTGTTGAAGGTTTCACAGGGGTGACTTCCTCCATGATTCAGATCCCCATCAAGCCAGAGTCCAAATTTACCACTGCATACAAGGCAAGAGATAGCATATAGAATAACTTCCATAGCACAAAACCTATTCAATGGTACAATGATACTGACTCATTTGCTGTAGTACACTTAGAATATAAGCTTTGCATTTGTTTTCTAAGTTGGGGTGCTGGATGGTCCTATTGGGTGATAGAATCTACACAAAATATATAGCGTTTTGTTTTTTACTCCAATAGCTCATTTTGCTCTGGCAGAATTGTGACATACCTATCACTTTAACACTATTAAGAAAATCAAATGCAGAATTCTTTCATACTCTTGGGAACCCTGGAGATTTTGGAGATAGTTTCAATTACATCTCTTGGCATTCTTCCAACATTTGCTGGTGCATCAAAACTAAAAGGAAGAGAAAATGTGCTAGCAGGGAACTTTGGCAAGTAATAATATTCACAACTTGGCATTCCAATGTCCAATAAAATGACATGCATGAAAACTCAACAGCTGGCATTACTGGAATAACAAGGGTGTGAAGAGAGGAAGTAGGGGATAAAATGACATGTTCAACATGATATAGCAGAACAAAGAACTAAGGAAAGGATGATAGTGATGACTTGCATTGAGTAAAAACCACATTTTAGGGCAATTTTATGTTCTAAATCAAATGTTTTTTTAAAAAAAATACTTGTCTAGTTGCTGTAATGACTGTCATTTGTGGGTTACGAACATCAAAAATAGGATGATAAAAGAACATGTACTGTTGCTAGTAATGATAGATTTGGTGAGGGGGGAAATGGTGGAAACACTTTTCCAATTCATGATCTTTCTTAGCAGTGGTGGGATTCAATTTTTTTTACTACCAGTTCTGTGGGTGTGGCTGGTGGGCGTGGCAGGGGAAGGATACTGTAAAATCTCCAGTCAGAAGTGGTATTTGCCGGTTCTTTGAAGTACTCCACTACCAGTTCTCCAGAACTGGTGAGAACCTGCTGAATACCACCTCTGTTCCTTAGCCATGCAAAAGAGCTAAAGATTATCCACAAAGATTGCACTGCAGCAGGCATGCTGAACTGACAAATTAATTTCCTTATAACCCAGCTATCTTTCAAAGCTACATACCTGCCTCCACCAATAGCTAAAGAGTCTGCATCTCCTTTCATGAAGAAGGTATTTTTGCCTGTCCATTTAAATACCTGGCAAAGGAATCAAAAGAATATCATTAAGCAGTTTAGGAATGAAACCATATTATTTCTAGTGATAGCTTGAATCTTTTCATAGTGTGATTTAATGGATCAAATCTAATTGTATGTCCAGCTATTCTCCTGTTCATGATCTTGAAGAAATAAAAAATAGAAATAAAACATCATAGAGAGGTAGCATGCTGGCTGGACAATTCCTGAAAGCATCCTGATTTATGGTTTGATGCAATTCTCTGCTTAGTGTATGACTCCATATTAACGCTCCCAGCAGAAAACTGTCTAACCTCCATCTGAAGATATCCAAAGAGGAAGAACCCATTGTCAAAGTCCTTTTGCCATGAGCAAACTTTTTTCTGACATGTCATTGAATAGTTTCCATTGACCCTTTGGATACATCTTTTCATGTTGTTGAAGAGTGCTATGGTACTGTCTAATATTATTTTCTCTAGGCTAAATATCCCAGTTCTTCCAGCCACTCTTCATAAGAGATAGTTTCTCATCCTGTTGCTCCTTAAATCTCAGGTTTGCTTAATCTTTCTTAATGTGTCATGCCAGAAACAAACACAATACCAAAGTTAGAGGCTGAATCATACAGAATAAAGTGGAGCTCTTATTTTTTTTTTTGAACTTGAAACTTGAACTTTCTTTTGAACATTATTTATATTGATGCAGCCTAAAATTACATTAGTCTTTTCCCAATGATATCAAAATCTCATTTAATCTGAACTGTTATTCCAACTATCTGTCCAATATGCTTTTCACGAATAATAAAGATGGGATATAAATTAAATAAATTACTAGTTATATTCCAGACTGGTTATATTCCATCCCATACATTTCCATATGCTTTTTGTTTCATCGTTTATGTTTTCTTTTTCTTTCTTCTTCATCACAAGAAGAAATTCACATGTTTTTGTTAAATTTCATTTTCCCCCAGCCAGTGGTGGGATTCAAATAATCTAACAACTGGTTCTCTGCCCTAATGATTTCTTCCAACAACCAATTCACCAAACTGCTCAGAAAGTTAACAATCAGTTCTCCTGAACTGGTGCAAACTGGCTGAACCCCACTACTGCCCCTCGCCCACTCTTTAATCTGTGAAAAAAAAAATCAGTGTTGGCATTAAAGCAATTATTGCCAAGTTATATTCTGGAACACAGCAATATCACAGAATGTTTTAAAGTGCGCCCTTTATAGCCATAGCAATTTAGTGCCTGGCAAAATTTGCGTAACTATTGGCTCCTGAAGCTGTAAATACAAAAACAACACACTTAACATAGGGATTAACATGGTGTTTCAATCACCTTGAGTTGTGGAGTAAAAGAGAACAGAAATGTTTCTCCATTGCCATAAAAACAACTGCTCACATGAATAGCCATAGAAGAAAAAGCTCCAAATATCTGAAAAAGATACAGAGGAGAGAATATGTTTCAGCTTTCAGGAGTTTAATCATGTCTATCTTTCTGCACATTACCCATCGTGATGTCAAGGTCTGCTTAGCTTATTATATTGAATGAACCAACATTGACTGTATTTATTAAACATGCTAAAACATAGATCAATTCAACCTACGAATTACTGAATTATATTTCTAAGCCATTTTTCCATTTTAAATCCAGTATCCTTTCTATTATTACAATGTTGTTTACAAAACAGCCTAGGATTCCAAATAGTTGTTGTCAAATAATAATGAGACAGCAACAGTTTGTTTAGCATTAACATGAATAGATTTTTTTTTATAGACGTGAACTTACATTTCTAAAGTGGAACTCAGCTTTCTAACAATCTTTTAAAATAGTAGCTCAGGGGCCAGATCATGCCTTGGATGGTGAAGCCAGTACTTTTTTTTTGTATCCATCAAGATGACTTGCATTACCTCCAAATTACACATAATGAGCTGTTTATTTATTTTCCTCTTTATTATTTTTACAAATAACCGTGAGGTGATTTGGGCTAAGAGAGAGTGACTTGGTCCAAGGTCACCCAGCTGGCTTTCATGGCAAGACTGGACTTGAGCTCACGGTCTCCTGATTTCTAGCCCGGTGCCTTAACCACTAGACCAAACTGGGTGTGCAGTTATTATATCCACAGTAAAATGGATATTTCCGTTTCTGATGCATCTTCCCTTTTCAAATCCTTTCTAATGGATCAGGAGGATCTACTGAATATTGTTGACCACTTCTAAATGTTGTGAATGGAGAATAATAATTGCCTGATTATTTAAAGCTGAGTTAGACCCAGTTAATTAACATTCTTCTTTTTCATATCATCAGTCTTACATATGTAAAGTTGTGATTTAGATCTATCTAGGTTACCTGCCCATCAGTATCCCTGATAACCAATAACACAGGAGAGGCCAAGTTGCTCATGCTTCTATACATGGTCTTCAGACTAAATCCGTCCCTTGCTGTACAGTAGACAAGGTTCCAAGGATAGGCAGTCACTCGCAGAGGGAGATGTGGAGTTAGCTGAGGGAGACCATATAAACAAGATCAATTTTTCTCATCTCGCCCTGTAACAAGATATCTTTTCCTTTGATTATCTTTTCCTTCTCAGTTTGTTCATCTTTGGAAACATTGGACTAGAATCAGCATCTTTGCTGACTGGAAATTATGAAACACATAACTGAAAACAAGATTCCCTCATCCAGCTCATGGATGCTGCCTAAGCAAAGTGAATATTCAATCTTTGCCAGAAACTATTTCAGTCCTACCATATACTTGGCATTAAAGAACAAAATGGTTGGATTTACACACCATGCTAAATGATTGTTTAACCACAGTTTATTGAATAAATCTCAATTTATACCTGAAGCCACCAGCACCTAAGTCAAAACAATGGTTTACAAAGTACAATGGCTGGAGTCACACAATGTGCTTTTGACAAGCTACATTGTGGCTTTGCTTGATGTTTGAACCCAGTTAATGTGTCAATAAAATATACATCAGCTAAATGCATTGTCTTTAAAAGTGGGCTTTTTCTATGCAATTCCCAGGAACAACAGCAAAGAAGCTAAGCTATAATATCCAGCTATCCCCATGAAAAGTATAAAATTCCAAGATATACAGAGAAAATTTATTTACCTGTTGGATTTCTTCTGTGTGCAAGATGCTACTTTGAGCATTCAGTATAGGCTCATTCAATTCTTCTGCAATTTGGGATGGAACATCTGCATTTGTCCTGACTGAGTCTAGCCCATCAGCTTCCTCTTCAGGTTCTAGAGACAAAGTTTCATCGCCCAGATTGGGCTGGCAAAAAGCACAACATTAAATAAGATGAGAATTCTTTTTTCCTACCTGGCCTGTAGGGTATTTCCCATTAAATAGTTGGTTAAATCAGCCTATAATTACAAAAATAATTCCAATAAGGCAATGACATGTACATGAAGTTAGTGAAATTGGTAATTTGTCCATAACAAGCAATTTTAGAAAGTGGTGGAATCTCAATTCAACAAGCTGTCCTTTTTCCCATTAAGCCTTTAATAATCTCATAAGAGGGAAAGAGGGATTGATAATGATTCATGTAACATTGCATTAGTTCATCTTTCCTATGGATCTATTTCTGTAGCCAGAATGTTTTCAAAGCCAGCCTAAAATTTGCATTGCATGCGAATTCTTTAGGATTGAAAAGATTTGCAGTAATAGCTGCTGCATATTCATTTTCCCTCATCTATTCAGTATTGCAATGAGATTTCTATACTTTTTTATTTTTTTTTATTTTTTATTTATATCTCAATTGCTTACAAGATAATAGGTATAAGTAAAAATATAGTTATGAATACATGGATACATATAAGAAAAATAAAAGATATATAAAAGAAACAATAGGACAGGGAGGGTAGGTACATTGGTGCGCTTATGCACACCCCCTACAGACCTCTTAGGAAAGGGGTGAGGTCAACAGTAGGCAGTCTAAGGTTAAAGTTTTTGGGATTTGGGGACAAAAACCACAGAGTCAGGTAGAGTGTTCCAGACATTGACCACTCTGTTGCTGAAGTTGTATTTCCTGCAATCAAGTTTGGTGCAATTAACCTTGAGTTTGTATCTATTGTTTGCTCTAGTGTTGTTATGGTTGAAGCTGAAGTATTCATTGACAGGTAAGACATTGCAATGTATGATTTTATATACTATAAATATTATATACTGTATACTATACTTATACTATACTATATATTATATACTATACTTAGATCGGACCGAAGGCGGCGCAGTTCTAGGTTTTCTAGTCTAGAATTTCGAGTCTGGTGGAGTCTGCAATGAGTAGAGGAGTGGAGAACTCTTCTTGTGAAATATTTCTGGACTTTCTCCACTGTGTTAATATCAGATACGTAATGTGGGTTCCAAACTGATGAGCTGTATTCGAGTATTAGTCTAGCAAATGTTTTGTATGCTCTAGTTATTAGTGTAATATTACCAGAGAAAAAGCTACATAAGATTAGGTTAACAACTTTTAAAGCCTTTTTGGCTCTGTAGTTACAGTGGGCTCTAGCACTTAGGTCATTTGAGATGAGTACTATACAGGATGACTAAAACTTTTCCCCAACCTTAGAAACATGCCATTCATTTGGAAAGACATTACAAATATTATTAAGGTTCGTGTGTATGTTTGTGAATGCAAAGGCTGTTATCTTTGCTGAAAAGTGGGGGTCAGCCATTCAAACCTACACAGCTATTGGGTTCCACCCTTTGTTTTGTAAGTCAGAACCCAGTCAGGCACTTACAAAATATCTACATGGGGCTTCACACAGCCTGGATCTCCTCACCATATTTATTTTCCCCCTCTCCTATGGTTAACTTCCATTGGCAGGATGGACCAGGACTTTAATACTTGATGTTGGAAGACAGTGAATTGTAACACTCCTTCTATGGATTGTTAATATCTAATTCTATTAGCTCTCCTTCTGAAATTTTTATCTCCTTTTTCTGCTGAATGTTCCATAGGTCAATTGGTCTCTATACTTTACTGGATTGATATATATGTCAAAAGTATCATCAGTCATGAATTGGCATTGGACATTATTTGTTCTTTGTGGAATAAAAATTCCAGTTCACTTTTCCCTTGTTTGATGAATACGGTAACAATCTGTATTTCCTGACTGAATCATTTAAGAATTCTATGATATAGCAAGACTGAGTTAATACTTGATATAAAATATAGTTTATTTTTATCTTATGGCAAATAAAGGAAACTTGCATAAGTTCTATTATGTGATCCCATATATTCTTTCCCCCAGTTTTCTGGTTCCCTCTAACAACACTCGTTCTCACACACACACACACACGTACATACATACACCCCTCAGCTTTGTATAGGTAACAAGCATGTGCATTCCTCACTGAGCTGTTTTGATCATTTTCCCAGCTGCTTATTATTTCTCTTTTTTCATGTCATTTTTACTAACAATGACACAACCTCAACATCAGTAGAGGACATGATACTCTGTAATTAAAACAGTGGGAAGAGGGGGAATCAAGATTCCTACAAAGAAAAACTGATACTAAATCTCCATACATCTCCAGCCTCAATACAATGTGATTTCATCAGGAATTGCCATCATCCCTCAATCAGAATAGTAGAGTGTATTTTGAAGTGAAAATCCAAGACACTTGGAGGGAAAGCCTTTACTTATAGCTAATGCCACTTAAGCTGCTACAAGTTCTTACACCCAAAGTCACAAGTGACTACGTAACACAGAATTCATTTGTGCAACAGTTAATTCTTCACATTTAACTATTGATTATTAAGCCCTAGGTTCTAGTCTTAAGTTGATTCTGCAATGCTTTTTAGCCAAAAAAATCCAAAACAAAATGACTGCTTCACTTTGAAGAAGCCTCCCCCTTTTTTCCGTTAGGGATTATATTACTTGGGAGTACACATCTTTATGCAGAGTGGCAATATATTTGGTGTGAGAAAGAATCAAGTGATGGGAAAATGGCTAGTGCCATTGAGTTAGGTGGAAGTTTCACCCTGTTCTTCCCTTTTCCATCTGTGCCCTAAAGCATGCACAACAGTACGTACCAAAAGAATGTAACGGTAGCATGGAGTTTTCATTTTTTCTGTGATTATCCAAACCAGAGCCCTGGACAGGAGTGTCTTTCACTGACAGAGCATGTATGGAGAGCAGGTGCCTGCCGATAACCTGTGGAGAACATTCCCCTGTAAACACTGTGTACTTTCTCCCTTCTCTTAAGAAGTTAAGCTTCCTGTTTCACAGATGCTGTCATCTAAGATAATACAAAACAAATATCTTAAAAATCTTTTCAGTTCTTTTATTTCCAATCTGTAGCTTTACAAGAGCATGGAAGTGGATCGATTGGTCTGAATTGCCAATATAGGTGGAATAAATTACAAAAGTTCAAAATTGTTCCAAAGCTGATTTTGTAAAGGAGAAATGAGCAGAGAATCTTGCAGAAATTTATTCAGAAATGTCAAAAGCCAACAGTTTGGATTAGTAGATCTGAAATATTAAAAATCTTTCTAAAATTAGGGCAAAGGTTCATCCTCCAAACTTGTGGATTGGTTTCCAAACATTTCATTACCATCTCCCAATCAATTCCAAGACTAATTAGATCTACTGGCCTCATGCTACATAAATTGCCACAACACAGGCAAGTTCATGACAGTATGTCCACCGTCTTGTTAACATAGGTAGCATGGTGGCTGTTTGGTTCTTGAGAAGACATTCACTGTACATACTAAGAATGCAGTGGAAGAACACCATGTTTCAATTGTATGGAACCATCTATTTCTTTTCAAACAATATAAACAGAAGCCCTTCTGAATTTTTGATGAACATCAATGGGGTCTATTATGTGTGGGCCACCCATCATATTCCTCTTTATTTATCCTTCAGACATAACATCTGAAATGCTCTTCATCTCTGCGGCATCCTAAAATATGTAGCAGCAACAGAAGTGGCATAAATGATGAGCAATTTAAGGACAAGATTACCGAAATTTAGCATGAGAGGAACCATGGCTTTCAGAGTGATTGTCTCAGCTCCAAGCTCTTTAGATTAACATTTCAGCCATTGTGAGCCCTTTTGCAAGAAAGTTTATGTGTGAAAAGTGATCGTGGCACTTAGGAATAATTGAGAATAATGGTATGAAAAGAGAATTTCCTAAATTGATTCACAATCTTTCTTCTTATGATAGAAATCCTCTGTTTTTTTTTTAAAAAAAGCTGAATCTCATATTAATATTTACCCCAGAAAGATTTGGTAGGCTGCATTCCAGAATGGACTTCTATCCTATGAGCAGGGGGCATATAGCTTAAATAATTCAAAGATGAGCAGCCATTATATGTAAAAAAAAGTCATGCAAAGGATACCATGGAAACATGCAAATTAATTTGCTTTATGAGTCATGTCTTATGGAATGAAAACATGGCCTTTTGAGGTCAGGGGAATAGAATGTTTCAATATGATATTGTTTTTACAGTAGTGTTGGACTTCATGGCTTCCATAGTAACCATGAATCTATTCCAAGATGCTTTTAAGCACAATTGTGCTCTCCCTGAAAATGGAGAGCAGTTCTTATAAATCTCTGGGTTACTGTCCCCATCACCTGTTACTGTCTGGTACGATAGTTGGGCTGTGAGAATGGGCAGTTGTACCATTAGGCAAAGTGTAGCAGTCATACTCTGTCACTGAGAGGTAGCAGCAGGAAAAAAAGCTGTGTGTGACAGCTACTTGTGTTAACCTAACTTTGGAGCTTTGGAGTTTGATTCTGAGGTAGAGCTTTATCTCTAACATAATTTGTAAACTGGACAACAAAGGAGAGTTGGAAACAAAAGTCTTTAAGTGCACAGAACAAGGTATGATGAAGCCAGAGGTATCTCATGCTAGACTGACAATCTTTTGCAGTCTAATGCCTTCCATATGATAACTATTACCTGGTAATTCCCAACCAGGAAATGGAAGAGAGATGTCAGAAACAATGTGACATGTGACAACTTCTTAGTAAGAAGATTAAATCTCTTACTAGCTCTTTTCTTGACAGTATATAGCCTCATTGGCTGAAGACTTGTATTTATCTGTTGTAATCCAAGGTAATTTGTCTTGAATTCTGTGATGTTTTAACAGGTTTTATTTTTTTTAAAAAGGTATATATATAAAACAGATTTGTAAACTTTATGTTCTAAGTAACTTGACATATTATCTTTGACATTGTCAAATACAAGGTGCATAATCTCTGAGGAACCATCAGTTTTCTGGCTTGCAAAAGGTCATTTTAAACTTGTAGCATCTGTGATTCTCTTTCCATTTGCACAAAAGATTGATGTAGTAAAGAAGCCACCATAGAGCTATGTTTTCTATATAGTCTGAAGACTGGTAGCACAATAAATAGTTTTCTAATTGTTTGTGTTGTTTTATCTAATTTAGGGGGCTTCTCTTCATCTTACTGATTTGTAGTTAACCTCCTAATTTTGGAGTCCCATTGATTCTAAGATGACAATTTAGTCTTAAAGTACTCATCTGGAAGTAAACTCAGTAGTATTTACTTCTGTGTATGTACAGTGTCCTTCTAGATAATAGGTAAAGTATGAACTGGAATTTATTTAAATTAACAGCATACTTTGTTCTCCCAAGCTAATTATACAAAGGATAATCAGCATCTTAAATATAGCCCCCTCCTATACAACTTAATTTCAAAAAAATCTAATTTTGTTCTCACCTTCACCTTTTATTTTCCCACTTAAAGAACTAGTCACATAGTGCAAAAAATATTAAAACCATAGGCACATACATTTAGTTATTACTAGTAGCATACTTACATTAGGATAAACAGGCTTCCTTGAGAGATATATCTCCTAAGCAAGTGTGAGAGAGCCCATTCAAAGGCCTGTCTCCTTTTGCTTATTTAATGCAGTAAAGTTGAGGGATCATCAAAGATTGTTGCCTTACCAACAATGGAAAAATGTTGTTTCTGAATCTTGCAACATTCAGAGGGATTGTGAATTTATATCTAGCCCTGCCCATCCTATCCTGTCCAATTCGTCATCTGGGTCAGCAGGCTGACTGCTTGCCCCCTGGTCATTCTGGTCTGATCTCATTATTTTGGGATCAATAGTAAGGTTGATGCAGGTGTTGCTATTTGTAACAATGATGTTGCAAACCATGTATTGTCTGTAAACCTCCAGTGATGATAAGGCTGAAGACTGTCACATTTTTTCCTCTTCCTGTCCAGCCTCACTGAACTATAGTCAGTTATTTGCTTGTCCCTGGATGACAACTTCCATATTTTCTTTGTAAGTCTAAAAGCAAGTCATTAGAATATGTTGATTCAATGGGGTTAATACAATTGAAATCCTGTTGATTAGTTTGGTCACAGATCAGGGATATTCAAAGTTTAGAAGAAACAAACTATCAAAGCCACACAATCACTTCCATTGATTGTTAATGGTGCCAGGCTTTCAATCAAAATTGTACCTATATACTTAAAGGTTTTGAGGCATAAGAAATGCAAGAACAGGGGTGATTTCTGCTTTTGTACCTCGATCTGTTCTCCTGTCCATCTTCTTCCCAGCCACCCATGTCTGTTGCTTTACTAGGAATGTTTATTCTTTCTGTGCATCGGAAAGATGAAGTGAGTAGACAAAAAGACAGATAGAAATTAAGAGTAGAGTATAGCAGTTTTTACTTCTCTAGGTATATTTTCTCAGGTACTGGTCGAAATTAACATATACTGCCCAGCCGATATGCAAAATCACAGATTTTACATAGAAAATGACTCTTGCAAAAATATATTGTTACATTAAAAAATAGTTTAAGAGCTTTTGGAGGGGAAATTGGTTCACACTGAAAGAATCCTAATAGTTGAAATCAGTGAAAAAGTTGGTCATGAGTAATTTAAGTCATATTGGCAAAAAAAATCAGAAAATAAAATACAAGCTGAATAGTCAAGATCTTGTTGATGACCCAAGCTCTGTAAAGGACCTTGGAATACTCACCTCTAATGATCTAAGTGCTAGAGCCCACTGCAACTACATAGCCAAAAAGGCATTAAGAGTTGTTAACCTAATCCTACGTAGCTTTTTCTCTGGTAATATCACACTACTAACCAGAGCATACAAAACATTTGCTAGACCAATACTCGAATACAGTTCATCAGTCTGGAATCCACATTACATATCTGATATTAGCACAATTGAGAAAGTCCAGAAATATTTCACAAGAAGAGTTCTCCACTCCTCTACTCGTTGTAGAATACCTTATGCCACCAGACTTGAAATTCTAGAACTAGAAAACCTTGAATTACGCCGTCTTCGGTCTGATTTAAGCATGGTATATAAAATCATACATTGCAATGTCCTACCTGTCAATGAATACTTCAGCTTCAACCATAACAACACAAGAGCACACAATAGATACAAACTCAAAGTTAACCACACCAAACTTGATTGCAGGAAATACGACTTCAGCAATAGAGTGGTCAATGTCTGGAATACTCTACCCGACTCTGTAGTTTCTTCCCCAAACCCCAAAAACTTTAACCTTAGACTGTCTACTATTGACCTCACCCCTTTCCTAAGAGGTCTGTAGGGGGCGTGCATAAGCGCACCAACGTGCCTACCGTCCCTGTCCTATTGTTTCTCTTATTCTTCTTTTATTTTTCTTATATGTACCCATTTCATGTATTCACAACTATGTATACACTTATACTTATTATCTTGTAAACAATTGGCAAATCAAATAAATAAATAAAAATAAAATAAAGTCCTTCTTGAAGTCAAAATAATGAAAGCATAACTAACAACCTGGATTCACAATGTTGTAATTTTAGTCATAGCTTGCAGCTATTTTTAGATATAGGAACAACGTATGGAAGAACTGTCACTGGAATGAGTAAGTGATATGTAGGAAAGGATTTTCTACACTACATTTGGTTGTGAAGGATAATGTTATGAAGGATAATGAAGATATTACCTCTCTGTTCTTATGTTTGTATGTACTTGTGCACTTTTATAGTTTATTATTCTGTTTTGGTTTTAAGTATGTTGTGACCTTCCTTGAGTCTTTGGAAAAATATTAGTGAATCCATATGCATAATATAACT